AGAAATCCAGGAAAACACCTCCTGCTCTCCCTCCAGGCCCTGGGCAACTTGCTGTAACTTCCACCATTACTCCCATCATAAAGAGACTAGAAGTTTGTTTCTCCTCCAGATAAGCACCAATTAACAAACCCTGTTCCGCTGGAGCCTCGCTTGTTCCTTCATCTTCAAAATGCCCATCACCTCTGCACTAATCAGTTCATGTCAGTTCATGCTGGACCCTCTTCCCATCACAATGGTTGTTGAGTAAATTCTACCTTTACCCCTTTAACTAGTGCCCAGCTTCTCTTTGACAAAGGTCAGACCTACATTTTCTATCTGCCCGAGGGAGGGTTAGTTTAGAAGAAGATCACAGTGCTGACAAGGCTAAGGTTATGAACTTGATCTCCATGTGGCTCTGTCCATATGTCACATGTGTACACCTCTGTCAGGTGTTTCACAAGTGCGTTTCATTGATCACGAGGGATACCAGGTGAGAAAGTAGAGATGGCTCAGCACAAACCATTTGCTGCTGCTTTTTTTTGTTTGTTTTTGTTTCTCATTATGGCTTGAAGAGCTCAAATACACAGATGGTGAGGCTTATGGCCTTCACTTTGTATACCTCAGCTAGAAGAGAACCTTCGTGGCATCCCTCATGTTCTCCCCTCCCCCAAACACCCTTCTCCCTCTTTGTCTCCTGTTCTTTTAGCATCTAGTTCATGGTCTTCCTTTTCTCTCAGTTCTTCCTCAAAGCCTCCACCTCCCACTTTCTCTTCAGTGCCGATGAGCATTTATCTTCTGTATCATTTCATTTTGTTACCACCAATGGCTCATGATGGTTCATATATTTGTTTTTTTTTTTAAATATTTTATTGACTTTTTACAGAGAGGAAGGGAGAGGGATAGAGAGCTAGAAACATCTATCAGCTGCCTCCTGCACACCCCCTACTGGGGATGTGCCCGCAGCCAAGGTACATGCCCTTGACCGGAATCGAACCTGGGACCCTTGAGTCTGCAGGCCGACGCTCTATCCACTGAGCCAAACCGGTTAGGGCCATATATTTATGTTTTATCACTCCTAAATATTCCACCTCTTTTGTTTCATTAGGTTAACTACACTGAAACTATTCAGTGGAATGCATTTGAATATTCCCATTGAGCTTTCCAATGGCTTTCACAAATTTCAGCAAAACGTTGAGTTCCTTCATCATTTCTAGGATGGGCAGTAGACTGTGTTATAACTCTCAAAAAGTTTACAAATTTATACAGAATCAAACCAGTGTTACTGAACTTTGTACAGAAGAATCTGTTTCCTGTGGATATTTTCCAATTTTATGTGATAATACAGTAATATATTTTACCACAAAGGAAAATCATTTAGTTTATAGCATTATAATAGCTAGTTCTTTACAATCTCATTGCTGTTAGCCTACATTTTCATAGCTTTATGGCATGAAAATACATACTTTGTGCCCATTTAAAATATTTTGTATTTTCAGGAAAATAATCCTTTCAATGGGTATAATACATTTAACTTAGATTACTCATATGCTAAGATTCAGAAAGTTTCCTCCAGAATGTTAATTTTCCCATTGTGTCCCATGCTATTGTCGGATGTAATAGTTTCCTCTTGCTGCTGTAACGAATTGCCACAAACTTCAGTGGCTTAAAACAATACACATTTATTACTTTATAGTTCTGGAGGTCAGAAGTCTTGCAAGGGTCTCAATGAACTAACAACAGGTGTCGGAACTGAATTCCTTTATGGAGGCTCAGAAGAGAATCTGTTCTCTTGCCCTTTCCAGTTTCTAGAGGAGGCCTGCATTCCTTGGCTTGAGCCCCTCTTCCATCTTCGAAGTCAGCCATGGCTGGTTGAATCTCACAGTGGAAATGATGGATAACTCAATGAATGGAGTTGGAACAAATGGCTACCTCATGTTTTAGAAATATATTTAGCTGAATGTCTACCTATCTCCTTAAACCAAATTAAATGTTAGATAAATGAAAAGATATGAATGTGGAACTTTTGATGGTGTCAGCTGACTGCACTGAAGCATCAGTATCTTCAGTTCCTTCATATCGGTCCTATTGCTGCTGTGGTTTGGAATGTGGCCATGAAACAGTCCTTTTTGTTTAGGCCAGGTGTTCTTGGGTTTGTATCACTTCAAACTGAAAAGCCATGGTTATTATACAGTAAATTCTCAAATGTATTTAAGTATATTTTTTATTCTCCCCCCTGTTCCCACTGACCTACTGTTTCTTCTTCTCTAGAGCTGAACTGTTCTAATTTCTTTACATTTTAAAATCTTTTAGGGCTAATTCCCCATCCATTATACATGACAGCCTTTTAGTTAAATTGACCTACAGAAACACTGATCAGGGGCCATGGAGATTGTCCTGGACTACAGATACAGGTATTCTAGTTTCTGTAAAGGTACCTCCTCACCAACCTTGCCATCTCTAATCTTAAATTAATAAACTGAATTGGGATTATTAGTAAGTCTCTTATAAATTGGTTAGCAAGAATCAGGGCTCACTTACAGCCTTACTTACTTGGGCAACCCTGGTAATTCGGAGTTTCTAGATTTAAAACAGAAGTATGAACGATGCTAAAGTCTTTTTAGCTGGAACAAATGGATTATGTGCAGTGAAGCCCATAAGACATTAGGATACCATATTTTGATTCATATGAAGGAGCAGGGTATAAATGAGATGTAATATTGGGGGTAAAATCCAGGGCAGGTGAAAAGAACACTTAGAAGGGATAAAGTAGGCAAATTCTACCAAGACAATCTATACAAATAAAAGGGTAATATGCTAATTAGACCGGGCATCTTCCGGACAACCTTCCAGATGTCCTTCTGGACAAAGACACGGTGGCGGGGCCAAGGCAGAGGCAGTTAGGGGCGATCAGGCCGGCAGGGGAGCAGTTAGGGGCATCAGGGCGGCAGGCAGGCAGAGTGGTTAGGGGCAATCAGGCAGGTGAGTGGTTAGGAGCCAGCGGTCCTGGATTGCGAGAGGGATGTCCGACTGCCAGTTTTGGACATCCCCCAAGGGGTCCCAGATTGGAGAGGGTGCAGGCCAGGCTGAGGGACACCCCCTTCCCATGCATGAATTTTGTGCTCTGGGCCTCTAGTATTGTATAATGGTTAAATGCACAGACTTTAGGTTGGGACTGCCTGGGTCTGAATCCCTGCCCTATAACTAACTAGTACATGTCCCTGGGGCAGTTACTTTACTCTATGTCTCAGTTTACTTTAAATGGGGATAATAATAGTATCTGTCTTATAGTGTTGTTGTAAGGATTAAATTAGTTACATAAAGCACTTATAACAGTGCCTGGCACACAGAAATTACTAGGTAAATAACTGCTACATTATAATGGTCTAAAATGTTAAGCAAAAAGAACTTAGGCTGGGAATCTATTTTCAAAGTTTCCAATGGATCTCTCAGACAGGTAAGAGTTTAAGTAAGCCAGTTCAGTATTAATACATGTTGCTAGTTATTACCCTTTTTTCCCCCTGTAGATAACCAGCCATCTACATTTGAGCTATAAATCTGAAAAGGGAAAAGGGAAAGGCAATACTGAAGGTGTGTTTGAAGAGAATCTTTAAATTGTTCACTTGGGTGGTATTAATTTTTCACAGAAGTTCCTACTTTCTCCAGTGAATTTTGGTAGGTGCTATGTGCCATACAAAGATAATAAAAAAAGTCTCAGCTTTCTAGCATATTTGAAACTAATGGCATTAACACGAGACATGGGTGAGTTTTTGCTGAGGGTCACATTGAGCTGTGAGCTGCCTCAGGGTGTTTTTTAGGAGTCAGCAACGTGGCAGAAGACATCAAGACAAAGATCAAGAATTCTGACTGCTCCTTTTGACAGCTGCGTCCCCAACCAGACGCAGGCCAGGAACTATCGGCAGAACTACTTGGACGTCCGCCACTGTGAGAAGGCAATGACCGCTAAAGGGGGTGATGTCTCCGTTTGCGAATGGTACACATCCTGGGTGGAAGCTCTGTTTGTTTACATTTCTGTATCCTTGTGTTTGTTGCCAATCTGAGTAAGTCACAAGGCTCTGTGTTGTCTATTTTATTTTATAACTTTCTTCCCAACTATTAAAATCAAAGAAACTCTTAGAAAAACAAACAAAAAATGAGCAGAAGGCACATTTCCTGGGAAGATCTGAACTGGCCCCCACCCTGACACTCCTCTGTCCTCACCCTTCTCCCAGGATAGTGAAGGGGAACCTGGGTACATCCCACTCTGGGATCCTGAATCATAGGTTAACTAATAATAAATACTTGTTGAAAAAGTGTTAAAAAAAATACATGGGCATTAATGAGAGATCCACAATACTTATAGGAAGGGAAGAGCTCATGTATGGGGTGGGGATGAGAATAAACTTGAACAATTTTATAGAGAAGACAGTATTTGAGCATTTTTAGTTTATTCTTGAAGTATACAGTACATTTTAAAGATAATTTTCTGCCCTACCCGGCTTGGCTCAGTGGATAAAGCGTCAGCCTGAGGACTGAAGGGTCCCAGGTTCGATTCCGGCCAAGGGCACATGCCTGGGTTGCAGGCTCGATCCCCAGTAGGGGGTGTGCAGGAGGCAGCCGATCAATGATTCTCGCTCATCATTGATATTTCTCTCTCTCTCTCCTTCTTCCTTCCTCTCTGAAATCAATAAAGAAATATATATATATTTTTAAAAAGAGATAATTTTCTATGCACTGGAAATGGAATAAAACAGTTAGGAAATGAAAGGTTTGGAAATCGCAGGGAAAATTCTGGTATTTCAAATAGTCCAGTTTGATGAAAGAAATGGATAAGAGAATGATGAAAGATCTGGCTACAAAGGTAGGCTGCAACAATGTTGAGGAAGTTTATTTCATTTTTGAGCACAGAAATAATGTGTAAGTATTGAATAAGATGGGTTATTACTAGAAAGGTTATTGTAATTATGGGTGAGAGATATATCCAAACATCATCCATAGTTCTGAATGTATACTTAAAATGTATCTTTTCATGTATAAATAATAAGGAATCTTTAATAAAACATATATACAAGAAATAATTCATAAAAAGAGAAGTCATTCATATTTGACAATGCTCATCAGACACACTTCATGCCTTTTCAACAGGAGGGAAATCAGCAGGTAATCTCAATAGCTCTTCTACTTCTCCTTGCAAAGCCTCTGCTTTTTCATGCAACAGCATCTACAATAAAAACATCAGGACATGAGACCAAAATATTCAATGCTAGAGAAATGCTACCATTTTTACCACCTGAATCCTTACACATTAGCAATCTAGACATTAAAACTAATATGAGATGGAAAAATGGCCACTTAAGAAAAAGTGATTATAGTAAGTGAAGCTGAAGCATTTAGTTAAAGCCATTTTAGCTGATTGCTCCATTTGGTATACCAAAAATAAAGGAGCTCTAAAACATGATTTGTTTTATTGGAGACTCAGCTACCTAAAAATTAACTTTTAATCTATAAAATCTAAGACAATTTTACAAAAATTTAATTAGCTCTTGAAAATGTTATCCTTCATATATGCATTTTATTACTCCTTAAAATTTAGTATGCTATCTTTTAAAAACCTATAACTTTTTCAAAGAAAAAATTTTATTCAAGTTCCTAAAATTAATAGTTAACCCCTTGAGTGCCTGGGAGCGCTATCGCGCTCCTCCTGTCTTTCGCCAAAAGTGCCGGGAGCGCTATCAAAGCTTCGAAATGGCATCCAGTTCTAAGTCTGCTTTTATTAGTGATGATGATATTGCTAAATATGTCAATGTAGTAAAGGTTTCTTTAAGTTTTTGAATATGTAACTTCATTTACTTGCGATTCATAATTTTTTTCCTAAACTGCTGTAAAATCAGCAAAAATGCCTTGGCAATTTCAGCATAGTCCCTAGGATATTGGTTGGCACTCAAAGGGTTAATTTTGAAAAAAACATAATGAGAAAAGAAAGTATTTCTAAACATGGAGCATAGTAGACATAAATGAATATTTAACAAGTAATGACTCTCTTTCTTTTAGAAACCAGAAGTAAAATGTTGGTATTTGTTTTAGCTGGCTTTTGTGTATATTGTAGTGAAGTATTTGTACTACTTCTGTTACAAAGTATTATAATAAAAAGTTTAGCAAAATCACAGAGGGGAAAAAAAGTCATATGATGCAAAGTGAAAGTGAAAAACCCACTCCCTACCAATTTGACATACCCATAGCATTACATAGCATTATATCTACACTAATAAAAGAGAAAAATGGTAATTAGCGTACAACCGCTACCCTTCCCATTGGCTAATCAGCATATCCTTATGCAAATCAACTGCCAACTAAGATGGCGGTTAACCACCAACAAAGATGGCGGCTAATTTGCATACGCCCAATGATGGGAGGCGAAAGGGGAAGAACTGAAGAATGGTGATCGGCAACCCAGGCTGCAGGCAAGAGCTAGGGGGTGGGCAAAAGCCGCCTTTCCCCACCCCCCAGCTGGTGATCGCCTTTGGAAAGCCGGGCAGCAAACCCGACCCCAGGGGCTGGGGTTTCTGGCTGGCCTGTGCCGAGCGATGGTGGCGATCGGAGGCGTGAGGGCTGGGGCGCAGGCCATGGCAATCGGAGGGCGGGAGGGGCCGAGCGCATGCCAGGCGGCAACCCTGGACCCCACTGGGGCCGGGGTTGCCGGCTGGCCTGTGAGGAGCGATCCCCATGGCGATTGGAGGGCAGAGCTGGGGCGCAGGCCAGGCGGCAACCCTGGACACCCCAGAAGCCACCTGCCCGCCACCCGTGACCCTATCAGGTCCGGGCCACAGGCTGGCGGCCGTGTACAGCCACAGAAGCCGCCTGCCCACAGCGTGTGGAGCCACAGAAGCTGCCGGCTCACGCCTGTGTACAGCCACAGAAGCCACCTGCCCGCCTTCCGTGACCCGATCCAGTCCCAGGTTTCAGGCCCGGGCCCGTGTGCGGCTGCAGAAGCCGCCTGCCCACAGTGTGTGCAGCCGCAGAAACCTCCGGCTGGCGCCCGTGTGCAGTCTGCAGTCGCAGAAGCCGCCTGCCTGCCGCATCCCACTATGATCCACTGAGTTATGAGGCCAGAGAGCAAGGAGAACTTCCGCCCCTGAGTCAAAGTGGGGAGCGGAGGACATGGCCTCCCCTCCTAAAGTTGCCAAAGGACAGGACCTAACCTAAGCCACATCCTCTGAGACAGCCAGGCAG